GATCCTCCTGCCTCAGCCCCCCGAATGCTGGGATTACAGGTGTGCGCCACCACACCTGGCTGTACTAACTATATTATATATTTTATATGTGGTCCAATATAATTTCTTTTCATCCGACATGGCTCAGGAAAGCTAAAAGGCTGGACATGCCTGGAGGATACCTGACATCTCCACTTAGATATATTTCAATCTTTATATTTCTGAATCTGGGGTCCTTGCATTCTTTATCACATCTGGTCCTAATTTAGCTGTCTCCAATTCAAAACAAGACACCTTCATTTTTCTCGTTTATTCCAACCCCCCCCCCCCATTTTTTTTGGTCTTTTTGAGATAGGGTCTCACTATGCAGTTCAGGCTGGTGTTAAGCTCACTTTGTACCCCAGGCTGGTCTTGAACTTGCAACGCTCCTCCTGCCTCAGCCTCTTGAGTGCTTTTTCTCGTTAATTTCTAAATCCAAACATTCTTGGCTTTTTTCTCACATCTCACATTCACTGCTAAAGCATATCTTACTGCTTCTACTTTCAACATATTTGCCAACTACTTTAAAGCCTGCCATTTAACATCAGGTTTTTTTCTTTTTCATTTTCTTTTTATTTTATTTTTTTTTTTGGTTTTTCTTCGGTACTGGGAACCGAACTCACGATCTTGCGCTTGCCAGGCAGGCGCTTTGCCGCTGAGCTAAATCCCCAGCCCCTCATTTTATTTTTATACCAGGAATTGAACTCAGGACTTTGTGCTTGCCAAGCAAGCATTTATGCCACTGAGCTATATCCTATCCTCGGACCCAGGTTTTTTTCTTTGGAGACATGATTTTGCTAACTTGCCCTGGCTAGCCTCAAACTTTTGATCCTCCTGCCTCAGCACGCCAGAGTAGCTAAGGTTACAGGTGTGAGTTTCCACAGCAAGCTGTCACAAGCCATGTAAGAAAATAAAATAAGAAACCAAACCTAAAAGTTAAACAATGGCAGAAATAGGTGTGGTGACACATGTTTATAATTTCTGTACTCTGAGAACCTGAGGCAGGAGGACTGCAAGTTTGAGCTAGCCTGGGCAACTTAGTGACTTAAGTGATATGCTATCTCAAATTAAAACAAACAAACAAAAGGGATGGGAATGTAGCTCAGTGAGGACCCTGGGTTCAATCTCTAATACTGAAGAAAAAAAAAAGAAGAAGAAATTTTTAAATTAAAATAAAAACTTTTTTGGAGGGCTGGGGATTTAGCTCAGCAGCAAAAGCGCCTGCCTGGCAAGCGCAAGGTCGTGAGTTTGGTTCCTGGTACCGGAGAAAAACCAAAACCAAAAAAAAAAAAAAACAAAAAACCTTTTTTGGCTAAGAAGCCAATAAATATTTTCATATTGTTAAACGTAAAAGAAGGAAGGCCCCAGAATTAATTTCTAATTCTCTTTTGCCTAAATAATTAATGACAACCTTTTAACAGTACAAAGAAAAAAGTTCTGGCTTCTTTTCTGGGTGTCTCATATTAGTTATTTCATCCACTTTGGTTGAAGTGTCCCACAAGCATTATTTAACAATTTTTGTATCACATGGTCATATACAATTATAGTTATATACATGTTTAAAATTTGTATTTTTGTTTTTTTTGAAGGGAGACTTCTGGTTTTATTCAAATGGAATATTATGAAATCTTCCCTACATGATTGCTGTTTTCATTAGTAGTCTTCCATGGAAATACTTCCAAGTTAGCTGGCATACACAGAACATATTCTCTCAATGGCTGCATTATATTTCATCCCTTTTAATTCCAAGTTGTCACAAAGTAAACAGGGTAGCAGATACCCTTGTACATCTATCTTTACCTATTGATTCTTTTACTTCTATAGTACTCATGAGAAAAACTGGCTCATGGAATGATCTGTATTTTAAATTCTAAAAGATGGTCACAGTTTTTTCCAAAAATGCTGTTAAAATTCATTATCTCAGAATTTAGGAAGTATTTTAACTTGATAAAATCTCTATTTTTGTCCTTCAACTTTATTCTTTTCCCTATGAGTCCTCTTGCTCAATTTATTTCCCCAAATCAATTTTTGTCATAATTGGTTTTTTCTAATTTCCATTTACCTAGAACACAAAACTATGATTTCTGAATATTTACCTTATATTCCACCATCTTTCTGAACATTTTTAACTCTAGTAGTTTTTTAAGCCATCTGCTTTTTTCAATATTCATACCAATTACTTTATTTTCTTGTTTTACTACATTTACCTTGCCTTCAAAAATATGTGTAAAACAGGAGTTGTTCTATTACAAAAGGAAATATATTTTTTTATTTATGTATTTATGTATTTACCTATTTATTTATTTGGTTTTTTGAGACAGGATCTCACTATGTAGTTCAGGCTGGCCTTGAACTCACTGTGAGACCCAGGCTGGCTCCAAACTCACAGCAATCCTCCTGCCTCAGTCTCCAAAGTGCTGGGATTATAGGTATGCACAACCACACCCAGCTAATGTGTAACTTGTTAAAACAGTGTTCAATGAGCAACACAGATTCCTAAGGCCAGAGTACCCAGGACAGAACAGGTGCTTAATAAATTATTTTATTTTTCTGTGGCACCAGGGACTGAATGAGTTCAGACCTTTGCACTGAGTTATATCACTAGCCTTTAAAAAATTGTTTTGAGACAGGTTTTGCTAATTCCCTAAACTGCCCAGGCTGGTCTCAAGTTTGTGATTCTTTTGCCTCAGCCTTCAGGGTACTGTGATCACTTCAGGTATATGTGCCACCATGCCTGGTTATAAATGTTTATTAAACTGAACTTGTGTCATATGTATCTACTGCCTATAGATATATATGGACTTTTATTAAATATATTAAAAGTAGGATTTTTATCTCTCATAATTTAAAAATGAAAATGCTTGATTATGCTTCACAAAAAAATTTCAACACTGGTAATCAATGTTGGATTTCAAACATACAACTTTTTAGTAAGGACAAAAATACTAACCTTCAAATTCAACTGAGACTTTCCAGTGTAAATTCTGAAGGTGCCGACGAAGTTTATGACTGTTACAAGCTCTGAATTTTTCATTAGGACACAATGGGCAAGCCTGTTTGTTTCCTTAAAAAGAAAAAAGGCCTGATAAAGCACACAATATACTAGATATAAATCCCTTGTCTCAGCTACAAAAGACCTAGCAAGGGCCTTTTCCATGCTCTCCTCCCATTTCTTAGATTGAGTCTTTCTTTTTTTTCCTCAAAGAAGTTTAATATTGCTCACGTAAATGAACTTTCTTAACGTTAGGGAAAAGTCATGATACCTTACCCAGGAGGTAATTCATGATAACTGTACACATGAGTAATGATTATTTTTTCTGTGGCTAGCTGATCTCCTTTTTGCCACTAAGAATAGAGAAACTGACGAAATGATAAACTGTATGATAGTCTCTAGCTAAACTGTTTGCTACACGGAGTATCACTTTGAACTCTGGACAGGGAAAGGACAGCAGTTCTCATACTCTCAGAGGAGGAGTTGGCAGACATGCATATGTTATGTGCTATGGTATTGCTTCATTGCTCTGGCAGCAACAAAGACAGCTAACATGGAGTTAGAAAAATGAAGGATGTAGAATAACTACATGAGACCTAATAAAATTGCTCTTCTGAGAAGGGAGGCCATGACTAGAGTATCAATCAAAACTTCATTGTATTAGTGAACTTGTAAATTCTTCCTTCTTTATTGACATATTCCCCAAAAGATTATGCATCATCAAAATACAAGTCTTACTTAAGTAGAAATATATCTCAAACAAGAACTTTAATAGTGTACAAAATAAAGCAATGAAGAATAAAGCAAGAAAACATACAGAAATAACCAATAATTTAGTAATTTTTAACCTAATAAATTTTTCCTCTACAAAACAATGAGAGAATAGGTAAAATTTGTTTTTTATATACATTCCCCACTTCAAGAAACTATGAGGTTAGGGGCTGGGGATTTAGCTCAGCAGCACAGTGCCTGCCTTGCAAGCACAAGGTCGAGAGTTTGATTCCCGGTACTGGAAAAAAAAACCAAACCCAATCCCCCAACCCCCCAAAAAACCAAGAAACTATGAGGTGATCTTGATAAAATCCAAGCACTAAAGACAGGAGAACAGAATAGAAAAAAAGAAGACTGAGACATTAATAACACTGTACAACTCTTACACTACCTCTAAATTCAGACTTTTATATAATAGAATTTTAACTTCCTATTTACTTATCTATTTTTTAGTATCTTTTTGAGACAGGATCTCACTACTCAGTTCAGGCTGGCCTTGGACTCACTTTGTAGCCTAGGCAGGCCTTGAACTTCAGTGATCCTCCTGCCTCAGCCTCCCATGTGCTGGGATTACAGGTATGTGCAACCACGCCTGGCTACTTCCATATTATTTACAGCACTGTTTTGGGGATCCCTTACTCATAGGCAATACCTAACTTAAGAACAGACAGCTCTTAAATTTCTGAGATTGTAATTTCTTTAAGGAGTCTTAATTTATACCATGGTACCTTTGTACATAGAAGGTGATCAGTTTCCTGAATTTAAAAAAGGTGCTTTTTCCTATCCTTCTAGTTCACTGAGAACAAACAAGCCTATTACCAGCAAACGTTTTTATGACCTAAAAGATGACCCATCAAATTGGGGGTGGGGCATAGAAATACCTGCATCAAGATTATCAGAGTTCAGTGAACTGGCAGAGTCAAAATCTCCTTCAGTTACCAAAGCTAACTTCTCTAGATCAGCAAGTTGCCTTTGAATTGAGATGTGTCTCTCTGCAAGAAAATTTTAAGAGTTAGAAAATCTTGTTTTAACAATTTAAGTGTCATTTTTACTTGACCACATCACATGCAAGTTTACACTTTTATTTCCTGTAGTATAGTGATCTGGTATTTAGATGGGGACTACTGTGACAGTTTAGTTTATAAAATCACCAAAGTACTTCACAAAGTAAAAAAGCTGGGAAAAAATCACCAATGTATATCTTCATAGCTTTAACATTTTATCTAATTAGTTAATATAATTCTACAAAAAGTTTCTGCCCTGTACAAAATACTGAAAAAATACAAGCCATGTTGTCTTTAAAGAACTTTCAATTATGTTGAAGAAATTAATGTTAATTTCTAACTGTAACACAAGGTAGGATGAGCAGCAGAGGTAAAGGTAATTGCTGGCATACAGAGGAATGAGTAATTCTAACAAATGACTGAGAATATCTTACTGAGGAAGTGGCATTTGATACGGTATGAACAGAATTTTAATTAATTAGAGATTTGGTGACTGGCCTTATAAACTGAAAAAAAACCTCACAAGGAAAAGCATGTGGAAAAAAACAAAGCCATTCCTATCGAACTCTTGGTTAAAATGTAGTTAGTATGTTTGTGGAGACAGAGTATATAGAAAAATATGCAGCCAAAACTGTAGAATATAGATCATGGGAAGCATAAAATTTATGCACGTTAATAAGGACTTTATTCTTCAGGTATTGATAAGCAGTTTCAGGTTTTTGAGTCTAAAATATATTTAGCATACTCTTGATTAGGTACAGTGGGATGGATCCCTGAGGGCTGTTATATGCACTACTGATTAATATGAATGGATAAAATCTGAAAGTGAGGTATGATGGGATGTTGGCATTTATAAGACGGGCTGAATAAAAATAATTAAGATGGCAGATTTAGAAAGGATAAACGATAAAGAGAATCAAGGTAATACAGAAGTCTGTAAAAGAGAAATGTTCAATACAATGTAGTAGGAATAGTTTTAAAGATCAAGAAAAGACTATTGGGTAAAGTATACAGAAAGTCTCTGGTGACCTTCAAAACTAGAGGTATGGGGCCGGGGGTATAGCTCAGTGGCACAAGTGCCTGCCTGGCAAGTGTAAGGTCCTGCGCTCAATTCCCGGTACCAAAAATAAGTGGTACATTGAGGTTTTTGGTGTACAGGTGAAGAAGACAGAAAATAGTGAAAATCAGTGTATTTTTTCAAGAATTTTGACACTGCAACCTTACTTCCTCTCTTGAGCTTCTCTCATTTGTGTAACTTGTGTACTTTGTTCTCTCCTTAGAAATAAATAGTAAGAAGGCTTAGGCTATGCCTTATTCCTTTTTCTGACGGTTAATTGCCTAGTGCACATAGCAGACACTAAAGTCTGTTAAACGTTTTTTTTTTTTAAAAAAACCATTAGACTTTTGGCTGCAGTAGCACAATGTACTAATAATCTTAGAATTTAACTCAGCACTATCAAATTAAAAGATGATTTTATATTTTATTTTTAAATGAGAAAAACTATAAATATTGGCTAGCTTACTTTTTATACTAGATATTGTTCAAATGACTTATGATAATTACAATTTCTATATGAGGCACAATTTTTTCCTGTTTGAGAAAAAAATTTTTGTTGCGTGTGGTGGTTGTACATGCCTATAATCCTAGCTAGCACTTGGAGGCTAAGGGAGGAAGATGGTGAGTTCAAGGCCACCGTGAACTATACAGAGAGACCCTGTCTCACAACAAACAAGAAAACAAGACACTTTTGATTGCCAAATTTGATTGCTAACTTTTGATTTCTTAGATTTCTAAGTAATAGTAAAGAAATGAATCCATATAGCCAAGTGTGCTGGTGTATGTCCATAATCCAAGGATTCTGTGAGGCTGAAGCAGGAGGTTCTGAAGTTCTAGCCTAGTCTAGGCAAACTGAGAAACTTGGTGAGACCCTATCTCAGAATAAAAAATAAAAACAGGCTGGAGATGTAGCTCAGGGTGAAGACTATATTCAATCCCCCGTACAAAAAAAAAAAAAAGGCATGTGTACAAACCAACCTATCACACGTGTCTTGGCTTTCATAGTTCAATGACATATATGTGAAAACAAAATGCACACCACTATGTAAAGATACGCTTATTGAAATTATTCTGATTGCTAAATACTACAAAGTAAGACCAATCCTGTGGTCGACCATTGAAAAAAGCTATCAGATCTGTCTAAAAATCTGTAATATGCCTATAAGCATCTCTGAAATCACTTTCTGGTTGAATAGAAATTATATAATCTCTACTTAAATTACTCAACTTGCATTTTGTAATAGTAACAATTTAGAAGTTAGTAAGCAAATCTCATTAAATTAGGTGAGTCTAAGATGCTAGGAGGCTCTTTTATAACTTTTCTGTTACTTTGTCCTAAATTTTCAGTTCTATTTCAGCTATGCCATTTTCAACTTGCTTAGTTATGCCTGACTTCAGAGGACTTAACTAAACCATCTAAAAATAATTTTAATAATGATTAATATGTATTATAGATCAAATGTACTTTGGACTCTTAATCATTACATATTTATCCTAGTAAAACATCTTTAGGTTTCTCAAACAGTAGACATTCTTCAAAATACACTTTTAAATTTTGAAAAACACCAGTAAATCTTTCTAAACTATGCTTACCTTCTTTTTAATAGTGAGGAGGTAGAGAAAGCATGCATTACCTAAAGCTACTGAACTACTTCTATTAACTGAAACAGAATTTCGAGGTGAGGTAGGAGACCACTTATTCTGAAGCCTGTAAACATCCTCTACTCACCTACCACAGTTGCAGCTGAAGAAATAACTGGCCTTATTTTGCACCTGCAAGTGCTTGATTTTATATGAGGCATGCTGATTCTTTCCTGTGATCAGTCTTACTCTTTTTAGCAGTTACATGCTGTTTTAAAACTGCAAACAATTATTTTAGTCCATGACGATCCTTGTGTTTCATAAACATTAGACTCGAAACTGATCTAGAAATAGTAGAGCTGATGAATTCTTTTATTTCAAGTAATTCGAAAGAGTACAAAGGTCAGTTTATGGACCACAACGTAATTTGTTGAAAGAGCCTACTCTTTCTCAGATCTAACATTTTAAAATGTTCAGATGATCCTTAAGTGTCGATTATCAATCTTTTAAATTTCTGTATGGCCTAATAAACCACCCCTTAGAAGACATGCAAGCACAGTCGGATCACGTAATATGGGCTATTAATTTTCAACAGTCGACTTCTGCTGAGAGTACAAAACTTAACACACATTTATGTGTGAGGAAAGACATCCAGAATTTAGTACGCTCTTTCCCAAACAACTCATTAGCTTCGAATTCTTGTTGGGAGCAAGTGCCTAAACAAAACGGAATAATGAGACAAACCCATCTCTTCTCTGTGTATGTCGAGGCCGAAAAGCTAGTTGACAGTACTGTTTTCTAAATCTTGGCGAAGCTAGGATCTCAACGGGTTGCCTCGTTTTATTGTGTCATGTTTATAAGAGTTAAGCAGAGCAGAATGGACTGAAAGGGATACTACTAAATTATGTGTAACTACCTCTACCTGTACCATAAAAATGCCGTTTAACGAAAAAGCCCCTAACCTTGTCATTTACTTCTGTCTTGCCGCACCCCTGGCCTCCACCTTTCCCCCGGTTTTCCCCGAGGTTTACGGAGGTGCGTTCTTCCATTAACGTTACCCTCCCCCACCTCACCGCCCCTCCCCCACTTTCCTAAGCCTGCCCTTCCCCGTAAAAACCGTCCCGGAGGGCAAAGACCTCCCCTGCTCCCCGGCAAGGCGCGCTTTCTCGCTCCTTTGCGGCAGAAAGATCTGGGCCTCCTGCACTTACTGCTTTCAGCCTCCTCTGGGACAGAGGCTAGGGACGGGGACAGGGCCGCAGCCTGGGCAAGGGCTGGGGCTGAAGCCGAGGCCGGAGTCGGAGCCGAGTCTGGGGCCGGAGCTGGGACCGGAGCCGAGTCCGGGGCCGGGGTCAGGACCTGGGCCACCTCCTCCTTCTCCGGGGGCAGCAGCTCCTCCTCCGCCATGTTCTCCATAGTTACCGCCTCCGCGCCAGGGCCGCCCGGGGGCCGGGAGGGGGCTTACGGCGGGGTAAGAGGGCTGACGTGAACGCCCAGGGCTGGATCCAAGGAGTGGGGAAGAGAATGGGGAGGGCGGGATGCGTTCGACAAACCAAAGACGGAAAACCAGTGACCAAATCCCGTGCAAAGAAAAACCGAAACCCAGGGGCAGCGATTCGAGAACCCATCGACTTCCCTTCCCCCAGGCGTTACGACGCCACCACAGACTGCGCAGACGCCAGGTAGGAATGACGTCCAATGGGGTGAGAGAGTTCCCTCTCCACAGTGTCTCCGTTCCACAGCTCACCCCTGAACCCAACTAAGACTACAACTCCCAGGGTGCACCGCGCCGAGCGGGCGCGGCCGACCTCCAAATTCGCGAGGAAGCGCCTGAAGATCTACAAAAGCGCCCCGCGGCGTTAGCGCCGTAGTCTGGCGCCGAGCGCCGAACTACGTTTCCCAGCGGGCAGCGCGCGAGGCGGGGGTCTTTTCCTGTGCCTTGGAACTGTGGAAGCGGCGCGGCCACCGACGCTGCTAAGGTAAGGAACGGGACGGTCAGTGGAGTTTTCTCAGGACAGGGTCGCTCTCCTCTCGGCCCCAAGTACCGTCGCGGGTTGGGGCTGTACGAGGGGGACTCACGGGTCGCTGGAGCCTGGGCGGGGCGGCTCTGGGTAGACCGGGGTCGGACCCGCTGCGGGGAGGGTTGGTTCCGGCCCGGCGCTGTGGGGGCCGGGGGTTCTGGGGAGTGTCTGTGAAGCGTGGACCCCGCAGTTTAGGAGCCCTGGACCAGACTTCTAGTGGGTCCGGCTGACTTGGAGTTGCTGTGTGCTCGTCATTTCGCGCCCTCTCGTTTCCTTTGTTTTTGTTTTTGTTTCGCCTTCGTATTCACAGTATGAGCCGGACTCCGGTGCAGGCGTCCCTCGCGTAGGAGTTGGATTTGCCTTTTTATAGCCTCCTCCTCCCCCCCCCCCCCCGGTACTGGGGATGGAACCAGCGCCTTCACCCCGAGCTACATCCCCACGCCTTTTTGTAGTTTTACTTTGTATTTCCAGATGGGGTCCAAGTCGCTATTTTGCCCTCGCTGGGCTCTGACTCGCGATCCTCTTGCCTCATCTTGCCAGAGTGCGCCACCACGCACTTGTTTGCGGACTTTTCGAATCAGACCTCTTGAGTGTGTTGAAATAAGAGGCCTTGTTGTTGGTATGTTTCCCCAAGGCATACGGGCAGTGAGTTCTCCCCCGTCCCCCGCCCCGCGCGCTTTTCTTACCTGTACTGGCTTGCAGTACTTGACAGCCAAGCTACTCCCTCCCCCAACAAAACCACAACAAAAAATGAGCATTCAGGGGAAAAAAATTTGAATTTTCTGGTTGCCCAGCCTGTGACTGGTCTGAACGTTATAGGCAGCAGGAAGGAGAGGGGAGAGCAGTTTTACTCTCAGGTGCAAGGATCACTCTTCTGGTTCGGTTTTCTTGGCTAATAAAACTGCGGAGTGCCTTTCTTATTGCCTGTTTCACAACGCAGAGGAGAGAGCATGATTTTTGGTACTTTGAAACCATCTCTGGAAGTTAGCCTCTTTCCTCCCCTCTCATTAAGTGTATGAGGGAGGCGCTTTTCCTACTTTAATGGAAACAGATAATCCCTATCAAGATTACTCAAATTACAGCTCTAAAGCCTTTTTAATCCACTCCCTTAAACTAGTAGTCCTGGATGTGTAGTTGATTGCCTGCTTAACAGTTAGTTACTAATGGGATGGTACAGTTAACATATAAAAATGCTGGCCGTATCAGTGCACCATTCAAGAATCACAGATTTTAAAAATTTCTAAGGAAGCACTCTTTTTTTCTTTTAATGTAGTGGACTACATAAGAGTGTGATTACCGAGCAGCAGAGATTGTCAGGATCTATCTCGGAGACTTCCCACATAGAAAGTACCACCCTCTGTTAGTTTGTTTTGGTATGTATAAAATCAGTTTTTTTTTTTTTTTTTTTTTTTTTGAGACAGGATCTCGCTGTGCTCTTCAGGCTGGCCTTGAGCTCACGTTGTAACCCAGGCTGGTCTTGAACTCCAAACGATCCTCCTGCCTCCACCTCCTGAATGCTGGAATTACAGGCATGCGCCACCTTGCCCAGCCCTTTTTTTGTCTTTTTGAGTATAAAATCAATATGAATTTCACCTTAATATAGATATAAAACATGTCATAGTAAACATTTGGATGTTTTCCCTTGGATAGTCCACAGTCTTCAATGTTCTTTTTCATGATGTCTTGGGGTAAGAGTTTTAAATTAGTGTTAGGGAATCCAAAAAAACCGGATGGGTCAGTGACAATTATAAAACATAACAGTATGGCCAGTTAGATAGCATTGTGACCTCTAAAGAATGTCTTTCATGGAAGTTCTTTTTTTGCTTTTTCTTCTTAAAGAGATTGGTGGCAGGTTTCTCTGTGTTGCCCCAGGTTGACCCCAGAGCTTTTGGTCTCAAGGTATCCTTCAGTCTCAGCCTCAGAGTAGCTGACAATGGGCACATGCGTCACCCTGTCAGACTGAAGTTTTTTTTTTTTTTTGTCCTCTCTGACTCCCCAATGGACTAGAATCCTTGAGACAAGAAAGAGAAAAAGATTACTGCTGTAATTTGGAAGGTGAACTGTGAATTGGACTATTAACATAAACTAGTTTATAAAGCAAAATCTCTGGTTAGTTTAGACTGTGTTCTTCAAAGTATGTGTCGAATAATAATTTATATTTCTTTCTAGATTCTTAAGGTACCAGCATTTTCTTCTTTTCATATTCATCAGAGCATTCTAAAAGTTTAGTATAATTGATCATTATTTTATTTTATGTTATTTTGAGATAGGGTCTCACATTGTAATTCAGGCTCACCTTAAACTCACTGTGTAGCCCAGGCTGGCCTTGGACTCCTGACAATCCTTCTGCCTCAGGTGAGTGCTGAGATTACAGGCCTGTGTCACCACCCCGGGATCATTCTTTTTTAGAACTTCACTTACTTTGATCATATTTGATCAAGAATAATGGGAAGTTCTTGGTTTCTAGCCTTTATTATGTTCATATTTTCAGGTATCATTACCAGCTGTTCTCCTTTCCTTGGGCTTTAGTTCTAGATCCCTTTTATTTCTTCCCAACCCAAATGGTGATGTTCCCAGTCTGCAGTCTCTAGCCACAGTATCCCACAACAGGATGCTGCTCTATGCTGTGGGTGCACACTAATTTGAGACTTTCTGACCATATGGTGTGGCTATGCTTGTCTTAATACATACATACATACACACACACACATATACATAGTTACATTTTTTTGTGGCGAGAGTCATCAGTTAATAATACTAACTTGACCTATAGGAGGGCTGGAAAGGTGAAAATTGGATAGGAAGTAGAGAAACAGCAGTAGGCAAGGATTGGAAGTGGCTAAGAACAAAAGAGTGCGTATTCTGAGGAAGAATTCATGCATTCATTGAGCATATGAATATCTCTCAAGTTTTCAATACGGCATACTTCTTGAGAAGCTCTGGGTCTAGTAGAAAAACTCATTATTTAGACCCTACTAGGTACCACCTTGTCTATACATCCACTGTTTCATCTGATCCCTTCAAAAAATCTCTAGAATGAGTTGTCTCTGCTTGATTTACAATGAAACTGGGACTCAAAAAATGTATGGTTTTGGGGCTGGGGATTTAGCTCAGCGGCATAACGCCTGCCTGGCAAGTTGTGAAGTTGTGAGTTCAGTTCCTGGTACCAGAAAAAAACAAAAAAAATGTACGGTTTGCCTGAAGTTTCACAGAGGGTGTGTCTGGAAAAATGAAAATTTACAGTTAACTGGTATTTGAGGTGTAGATGCGGTAAAACACAGCAGTCTTGTAGGCAGTAAAAACTGATGATCTACTGAGAAAAGTTGGGGCTCAAGGTATAGTTCTGAGAGTAATTAATGAAGAGTTGCTAAAACTGGGGGAGAGGAACAGATCCTTATAAAGGAGAATATAAGGAAAGAAAAGTGGAATAAGAGAATCTTAATATCTTGAGAATGGCTAGAAAATGGGAATCATTTTGTAAAACTCTTAATCTTTATATACCTTTACATACCTGAATAATTTTTGTATATTTTATGTTATAAAAACACATCATGTATTTTTAATGTTTATTTGGCTTTTCAAGATGTCCAACAAAGAATCTTGTGGAAAAGAAGAAAAGTCTCAGAGAAATGGCATCATCTCATCATCCATCTATGATGAAGTAAGAATTTTGGTTTACTGACTGTAGATATTTCCCCCTTTTTAAAGAATAGTTTTGTGTAATGTAAAAAAAATATACCTTACTTTTACAGTGAGGTATGAAAATATCTTGCTCTGCCTGTCTGACTCAGAAGTCATTTGCTTTCTATTCTTCTTTCTTTCTTTATTTATATTTTTTCCCCTCTCAAGTCTGTGAGATAGCTGTTATCCCCGTGAAAGTTTTAAGATCTGAAGCTTAGAAAGTAGTACTTTAGATAATTTTCCTAAATATTCTAAGTCCCTTCAATCCTCCCATTCATAATAACTCACCATTAGACTATTTTTCACATTTTCTCCCTTTTCTGTTTCCTCCCTTTTCCATTTCCTCAATGTTAGCTAAAATTGTACTCTTGTCAAGCAGAGTGGCCAATGCTATGGGGATGGGTAGGACTATTGGTAAGGAAGACATGCTTACGATGTTTCTTCTGTATTATTCTCAGCACCCTGCCTTTAAGCAGTATTTCGGTATGTGAAATTTAGGATATCTTGTTAATTGAATGGATATTGTTTCTAGGAGGCAAGACTGCAATGTGACTGATATAATTAAAGCAAACAAACAAAAAATCTTGTGATTTTTATTATATGCCCTCTGAATAATCCGTGCAGTTCATCAGGATTAGACAATGTGTATGCTATTTCAAAGTGAGACGTTAACCTGGCAAAGGTGAATGAATAGTTAGGCTGGATGAAGGATTAAAGATGTCATTGCACTTTATGGTGTTTGTTCCTTGCTTATTTATTTTCTGATTAAGAATCTGGTCTTCTAGGTATAGTGATAATTGGAATGGGCACCCTGCGGCATGGGCGAACAGTATTCTTCCTTCCTTCCTTCCTTAATTTGTATCCCCTTCTCCTATGTGTCACTCATAGTATACTGTTCACTATTTCTTCCCATTTCCTTGTAAGCATACTCTAACCAGACTTTCTCTTGTCATTACGCCCCCAGTTATATTCTCTTCAAGGCCAGTAATGGTTTTCACGTTGCTAAGCCCATTGGTCAATTGTAAGATCTTACACGACTTAATCTATCAGCAGTATTTGTCGTAACTGATGATGCCTTGTTCTTGACACTTGTACTTCATGTAAGTTTTGAAGTAACTGTGCTTTTGATTTTTCTCCTCACTGGTGACTACTCAGTCCTGTGCTGGCTTCTCTCCATCTTCTTAAAATTTAACTTGTCAGCTGCCCAGGCTGTTTTCCCATTTTCGTAAATTACAGTTCCATTCTTTCAGTAGTTTAGTCCAAAATGCTGTGATCATCCCTGCCTGTGTCTAGTCTATTAGCAAATTTAATTAGCTTTTTCTTTATAATAAATTCAGACTTTATCTCATCTGTTGCTATCACCATGAGCCAAACAATGTTTATTTTCCTTGATTATTCCAGTGGTTTCTGAATTGATCTCCCTCCTTCTCCTTTTACTTCCTTATGGTCTTATTCTTAAAACAGCAGCATTGTGGTCCAATTAAAATCATGTCACTTTCCTCAGTATGTGTTAGTGGTTTTCCATGTCATCCAGAGTAATAACAAATGTCTTCTGTGGGGCTCACAAAGTCACCTGCTCTCCCCATCTCAGCTGCTGTCGCTCTTTCTTTGGTCTTCCATCCCATGGCTTGTTGTGGTTCAAACCAACAAGGTACATTCCTGCTTCTAGAGCTTTACTCTTGCCAGTATTGCTTTTGAATTGAAAACTTTCTCTCGATATTTACTTGGTTTATTTCATCATGTCATTTAGGTGTTCATTCAAATGTCAGCTTATCAGTGGAGTTCCATCTGACTGCTCTTTTATTTGTTTTTTTTTTTTTTTTGGTTTTTCTCCGGTACCGGGAACCGAACTCACGACCTTGTGCATGCCAGGCAGGCGCTTTTGCCGCTGAGCTAAATCCCCAGCCCCCTGACTGCTCTTTTAAAAATTGCAAGTCTTTCTTTTAGTTCTAAGCCATTTCTTTCTCTTTCTTTCTTTCTTTCTTTCTTTCTTTCTTTCTTTCTTTCTTTCTTTCTTTCTTTCTTCTTTTTTTAGAGCAGAATATATTTATTGAGGGAAAGAAAGCTTCTGTCCAAGAGAGGGACAGAAGGCGGGCCCAAGTGGGTTATCCCAGACTCTGTCTTTTCTAGGGACTTTTATAGAGCAAAACCATGAGGTGAGGCGGGTCCAAGGTAGGGGAAAATGGACAAAACTATGGTCAGCCAATAACAATTGTTCAGGTAAAATTGATTAAATTGGGGATCAAATGGGGAAGCAAATCATGTAGCAAGCAGGCATGAATACAGAACAGGGGCTTTTCCTGTAAGGGGTTGGGTCAGTGATTCTTCAAGGTGATTGTTACCTATTTAGAATATCAATCCCTGATGTCCATCCCTTGGGAGGTAAGTGGGTGGGTGTGTTTGTTTAATCTTTAGTTTTGAGATCTGGCCCAAAGCAAGTACCACCTCTCCATTTGTAAGGTATCTTGTCTTCCATCCTGGCTCCTTGGAGGGCCTGGCCCTGTCTGACTGCCTATAATATTTCTATCTAACTCAGCTGCCTATAACATTTCCCCCTCTGAAGAATTAACCTGAACTGCCATGAGGGAGTAACGGGTGATGACCACTCTGGCTTCTTCAGGCTGAAAGAGGTTGTAGTAGTTTATTGGCAGTCAGAGATACTCTTCAGAGGGTCTGTCTAAAGGCCCTCAATAGACATCAGGTATTTTCATCTTGGGTAGGCATATAGCTTTAAATCTGGAGGAAACAAAGCCAAAGAAACAATAAAGTGTGCATGGGCCAAATAATAAGACCAGCAGGATTATTATGAATATTGTCAACAAAGATTTCTACCAAGAGGAACAGGTAAAGAGAGGATAAGCTCTGAGCTATGAGCTCCACTAGCTGAGCACTAGTCCCAGGTGTAAGTGAGGAACTTTCAAGAATCTGATGTAGTTACACTGCCTATGCTGTCTTCCTTGTCCCGTTTTCTATGAAGGAGTTGCCATCACAGAAAAGGGTCATATCAGGGTTAGTAAGGGGTGTGTCTAATAAGTCTTCTCTAGCTGCATATGTATGGAGAATTACCTGTTCACAGTCATGTCTGTCAGCCTCAATTTCCTCCTCTTCTGACAAAAAGGTAGCAGGGTTTAAGGAGGAACATGTCTTTATTTGAATGGCTGGTCCTTCTACAAGTACAGCCTGGTATTTAAGGAGTCCAGCTGTCTGATAGCCAGAGGCTGCCTTTGGATGAAAGAAGTCCTGTCACATTGTGAGGTGTGTATACAGTGAGATCTTCACCAAGCCCTTTCTTGTCCCCTTTCTGTGCTTTATTCTATAGGATTACCTGACACATAAATTATATTCTTTGTTTACTTATAAAATCCTGCACTAGATTTTAACTGTTAGAGATTTTTATTGTTTTAAATTAACATTTACCTGCTGTGTAGTATGTCTGGTACAAGGTAGGTACTCCAAACAAGTTTGTCTGTAGTTAAACTTAAAGATTTACTGAAAAATAACAGGATATATGGTTTTACATTGTAGAAGGCTGAATCCCATCATGGCAGTGCTATATTACAACACACTTACCCCATCAAATCTTGTCAGCTGGCCTGCTATATTATTCCTGTATCTATTTCATTTCTAGTTTATGTGCTCCCAGGGCTTTTTATTTCTAAGTAAGTCTTTCTTCTCGTTGCCTCTTTGTTTTTCTTATCAAAGTTTATGTGTTGTAAAATGTTGTTCTCCTCTAGGGCCCGTGATGGACTAGGTATGCCAATTTATGATGAAATAATGCTCTGTCATACTGTGGTTTATTTTATGCTTTTATTGTCCGTCCTTTTTTACTCCACATGGCATTCTTAGGACAAGAATGAGAAAAAAGCCTCATCGGGTTCTGCTATTTGTGCTTACTCTGTAAGATCAGTTTCAACACAGAAGAGAAAACTGGTGAGTGACTACATATTAAAACTAACTAAAAACTATTTATATTAAAGTTTTGTATTTTTTTTAAGAGCTGAGTTCTTGCTGGGTTGGCCAAGGTGGCCTCAGACTCTGGTTCTAGCCGTCTGAGGCAGAGGGTATATAATATAAAATTTCTCCATATTTTTTCTATTTTATTTACTTTTGATAGACAATAAAAAAATCAATGTTTGTTTTATTTTTCTCACCAAAAATATTTATTGGGTTCTTTATTTCTTGTGGTGTTAGACCCTACCCTGTGGGATAGACAACATGGATATAAACTTAGTTTTTCAGCCTTCTCACATATAATGTCTCAGCTACTTTTCTTTCATTGCAGAGACAAAATACCCAACACCCAAAATTAAGGAAGAAAAGGCTTATTTAGCTCACAGTTTGTGGAGGTTTCAGTCCATAATCAGTTGGCTCTAAGGCAGCAGGGCATGGCAGATTGGGGGAGGGGACAGTTCATGGCAGCCAAAAGCAGCAAAAACAAGAGCACAATAGGGAGAGCAAGCTTCTTTTCTCTTTATATTGCATGTACGCTCCCCCCTCCCCACAGGGTGCTCAGGATGTTTGCACTGTGGGGACTCTGGCCCCCTGCTGAGTTATTTAATTAAACTTAAACTTCTGAATTTGTCACAGTGAACAACATCCTAGAGTGGTAAGGGCATGTCCTTCCCATCCTAGAAGTAGAACTGCAGTTACTTAGTTAAGCTGCTAGACTTCTCAAGTTGAGACAATGTATCAACCATTACATATGGTTGTATTGGTCTTTATAATCTCATTTGGAGGTGGCCAACACAGATATTTTGTTCGTGTGCTCATGTTTCAGAAGTTGAGATCTAGGAGGTCAAATGATTTGCTCAAGGATGTAAAATTATTTGCAGTAATAGAGCCAGGTGGAGAGTTCTTTCTACTTTCACACAAATAATTAAAAATAGTGACAGCAGATTAAACATGTTAAGATAATCTCTGAATATATTGAAGTTAAAGGTATATCTATGTAATTGTGATGGGTAAAAGGGAAAGTAGTAAAAGTTCCAGGGATACAAAATTATGTGTTTTAAGAATTTAAAAGTACTTGTTTTCATATATAGTGATGCATTGCTTAGCAATGGGGATACATTCAGAGAAATGCATTCTTTGATGATTTTTTTTAAAGAGAAAAAAACAGTAAGTAGAATGATACATAATTTCAAAGCAAGATAATAGGAAATTAAGAATGGTTAGTATATTGCATGTGTTGTCTTCAAAATAATTGCTCAGATTACAAGATATAGGCGTACAAGATTGATGAAACAATATAAGCTCTAACTGTTCTCTTCAGTGAACTAAAAGAAATTAGTAGCCATCTTGTGTGTGTCTACATACATGTTTTTTCTTTTCCCTTTTCTCCTTTCCCCCATCCCAATTGTTCTTTCCTTTTGGGTAATTTCTTTCCCTTTCACAGTATTTATTATAGATTTTGGATCTTATTTACTCTTTCAGTTTCTTGCACTAGGGAGACAATATGATATTGATATACATGAGTCTGATTTTTTTCACTTATAAATGTGGTCTCTAGTTTCATCCATTAACCTATGAAAACCTCAAGTTTATCCTTCTTTATAGCTGAATAGTACTCCATTATAGAAAAATACCGCATCTTTTTATCCATTCTTTGGTTGATGGGCATTTGGGTTGTTTCCAAGATTTAGCTACTACAAATTGTGCTGCTGTAAACATGGGTGTACATATATTAATGTGGTATGATGTTTTTAATTCTTCTGGAAAAATACCCAGAAGAGAAATAGCTGGGTTGAGTGGGACCTTTAATTCTAGTTTTTTGAGGAACCTCCACACTGATTTCTACCAGTTTGCACTCCCACTGACAGGGGAGAAGGGTTTCTTTCTCCTCACAGCCCCTCCAGCATTTGTTATTGGTTGATTTCTTAATGATAACCATTCTTCCTGGGGTGAGATGGAATCTCAGTGCTGTTTTTTTTTTTTTTTTTGGTTTTTTTTTGGTACTGGGAACTGAACTCACGACCTTGCGCTTGCCAGGCAGGTGCTTTGCCGCTGAGCTAAATCCCCAGCCCCCTCTCACTGCTGTTTTAATTTGCATTTCTTGAATGACTTATGATGTTGAACATTTTTTTATGCATTTATTTGCCATTTGTATTTTTTGAGAGGTGTGTATTCATCTCAGATGCCCATTTTTGGATTGGGTCTTTGAATTTTGGGGGGCCTGATTTTTTAAATTCTTTATATGTTTTAGATACATGTTCTTTATCTGAGGGACAGTTGGCTAAACTTTTTTCTCCAATCTGTGGGCTTGCTTTTCACTCTGCTGGTGATTTCTTTTGATGTGCAAAGGCTTAATAAGGTGAGATCCTAGTTGTTGATTGTTTGAAGTACTTCCTGTGTAGTTGAGTTTTTGTTTATGAACTCCCTCCCTACCCCTGTGTCGTCAAGATTTCTATCTACTTTGTCTTCTAGTAGATTTAGTGTTTCTGTTTTATTTTTATTTTTTATTGTTTTGGTACCGGGCATTGAATTCAGGACCTTGCTCTTAGCCAGGTAAGCGTTTATGCCACTGAGCTATATCCCTGGCACAGTGTTTCTGTTTTAATATTTAGATCTTTGATCCATTTTGACTTTAGTATAGTGCATGGTGATAGGCATAGGTCTAGTTTTAGTCTCCTAGGTGATTTTATTTTGTAAACATTACAGTGTACTTACATAAACCCAGATAACATAGCCTATTATGATTTAGGCCGTATGTTATAGCCTATTGCTCAAGGCCATGGCATGTTACTATACTGAATACTCTAGGCCAGGGATGGTGAACCCCTTAGAGCATTCACTAATAACAAACAGCACTCTGCAACACGTGTGCCATAGGTTGGTCACCACTGCTTTCGGCAATTAAAATACATGTTTGGTTAAGTTATTTGTATATCTAAGTATATTAAAATATAGAAAAGGTATAGTAAAAATAAGAAGTAAAAGATAAAAATGGTAGACTTGTATTGTAGAACTGGAAGTAGCTATAGTGAGTCATCGAGTAAGTCATGAGGGAATGTGAAGACCTATGACTTTACTGAACACTATTATAGCCATGGTACACTTAGGCTTCGTTAAATTTATTAAACTTCTTTTCTTTGACAATAAATCAATCTTAGCGAACTGTAGCTTTTTTATTTTATAAACTTTAATCAGTTTAAATAATTCTTAATTTAAAATGCAAACAAATTGTACAAAATAATTTTCTTTATGTCTGTGTTACATAATTTTTTCATTTTAAAAATTATTTATTTTTTAACTTTTGTTAAAAACTCAGATGGGCAGACACACATATACCCATATACAAAACATACATGCTAGCCTAATCTTATACAGAGACAGGATCATTCATATCACTGTCCTCTGCATCCACATCCTTTCCCACTGGAAGTTCTTCAGGGGCAATAGCATGCATAGAGCTGTCATCTGTGATGATAATGCCTTATGGGATACCTGCCTGAGGCTTTCTGGGGAGAGTTTCTGGGTGTCACACCATATACTGTACCACTGAGCTATATCTCCAGCTTCAGAGGCTTTTTTTGATGTCACTGTTTTCAGAAATGTATTCCTGGTCATTTGGTTGGTTAGTTTCTTCCTATATTTGCTTATAAGCAGATAATGTACCCTGACCACCCCTCTCTAGTAATGGCAACCTTTTGTTGTTGGGCTATAAACATTTTTAGGAGCTTGTTGAAATCTGTAACAGCCTGGACTAAATCTTTCAGTGAATATTTTCCTGGGAGTTTGTGTTATTCTGCAGTTTCCTTTTCTCTTGGTCTTTTCTCAGCTGTGCATTGTTGTTCCAGTTTGATTATAAATTTATTGGCTTACATCACATCTGCAGTCTTCCACTGAAATGTATGACATGATTATAATTGTTTTGCAGTTTATTGTTTTTATATCAATCTTCTTTTTCTGATGCTGGCAAGGGATTGAACCCAGTGCCTTGTGCATGCTAAACATATGCTCTACGACAGAGGTATGCCCCACGCCATAATCTTCTTTTTTTTTTTTTTTTTTTTTT